GGTGGGTTTGAACTGCGGACCTTTTGGGTTAGCAGCTAAGTGCTTGCACCACTGCGCTACCAGGGCTCCTCTGTAATTGAATATAATGGAGCATATTTTGATTAAATAAATCTGTTTCCTCTCATTTTATAATGTTTTTACTTTCCCTTCAAAAAACCGACATTTCATGTGGTACAACCTAATATTATCATAAAAAGCTTGATAACTAAATTTTGTTATAATGTCTTTCTATACCAGTACCTTCAAAATCCTGTAGAATGTGGCCTTCCTTAAAAGGCAGGGTCTGCTTTTGCTGCTGATCCAACATGCTGTGAACTGTGATGAATTCATCATCAAGAGCTATGACATACGGAAAGCAAACGGCTGCTCCGATCACGTTCTCTGACCAGTGCACAGGGGCACGCTGGGATATTCCAGCTACTGTTGCAAACATGCCTATAGAAATAAGAAGAGTTAATTGAGACTTCAAATAACTATGGTACTTTTTTATTCTGTAGATGTGTCTGGATGCGGAATATCCCCCTCCTTAATTTCCCTGTACAGTTTTATGTTTCAAGCAAGGAAGGATAATGTAATACATTGCATGTATTATGATTTAATTTTTTGTGAGGAGAATTACCTTATCCAGAATTTATACCTTCTATTTACTTTCAATTAAAACTGAGGTTAAAAAGATGTTTTTATATATGCCCACGTGAAAGTTTATAAAGCATATGTTCTCACATATGGAAAAAAGGTTATCTGAACAATTTAAGAAGCTACACATGCTTTCTTTCATTTCCAGTCTTCTAACTGGTTTGTATCTCTGAATGACAGCTCTTCCTTATTTATACATTCATTCAACGGATTTTTTTTTGAGTACCTACACAGTGCTGTATAAGGAATTCTCAATGCTCAGAGTTTGGGTCTAATTTTGGATACATATGCGTTACAAAACATTATGTAATTCAAGATAGTTTATCTATCATGAACATGAAGCATTAAACTAGTCATTTCCAAATGAGTTATATACAGTCTAAGGATAGTGCCAGTTATGGTGAGAGGGGGAAGAGGTGAGCAAAATTAATATGTTCACCAAGTAAAGTCAATCCATTTTAACTTAACTTTCAAACTAGTTCACATAAAACACCTTAAAAACAGCATGCTGTTGCCTCCAAATGATCTAATACTACTGCAGTGGACAAATGGTTTCTACTACACACAACAGACTAGGAAGAAGGACCCGGCAATATACTTCTAAACAAATGGCCAGTGAAAGCCTTATGA